AAAAAACTATACAGCATTTTTTAAATTATAATTATCATTCAAATTTCTCTTTAAATTTTTTTAAATGATAGTTTTTCATTTAATATTTTAGTCAATAATATATTTTAAATGTCAAATTTACAATGACATGCCAAGTCATTACACTTTACAACTTAACCCTAAGTAACAAAAAATATAAATGTAATTATCTAAAATTATCATGCAAACAGTCATTGAATATACATACAACTACATACATACATATGTGTATCCCTCTCTCTCTCTCTCTCTCTCTCTCTCTCTCTATATATATATATATATATATATATATATATATAAAACACACAATTTGGTAAGCTCTACTTTCCTTTTATGAATTTTACTTATAATTTTGTGGTTACCAACAAATATCGATTAACAATAAAGAGCACATGCCAAAAAAAAATGTAATTAACCGTCACAAACTCAGAACTAGTTCCACTCAACTGAACCGTATTTGGTTGGGCTTATACAAAACATGCACTGAGTCTGAGGCAATTGCATTTATTAGACGATCATGCTCAGTGCATTATGAGTCCCACAAATTACAAATGGCAAAATTGGCAATCAATGAATTACGAAAGGACAAAATCTAGTTCACATTTCTTAAATTTTCCACATTAACTCTTTACAATCAATTGATGCCCCATGGACTTTTATATGTTGCAAAACTAAAACTTTATATGGATATTTACGTATTATCATTACATTTGTCCTTTACTAAAATGCTAGATAAATACCTATAATAATGTAGACAAGGATCTCATAAATATAAATATCTTTGTTAACAGAGACTACCATTTTCAAAATTTTGAAAAATTGATAGTTTTAAGTATTGCAAATTATAAAGTACTCCCTCTATTTTATAATAACAATATTTTTAATATTTGATCCATCATAATGTTCTCATTTTTAATATAATATTAAATATATTTTTTAACTTAAATTATTTAATTACTATAATTAAAAGTGATGTATTTATTGAGAGGATTGATTATTTTAATAAAATTGTATAAAAAATAATATATTTATTATTGTTTTTAATCTGTATATAAAGATCTTAAAATGCAGTCATTATAGAATGAAGGAGGAATAAGTGACACTATTTTATTGAATCTCTACCTTATTATTTAGTTACACTAGTACAAGCTTAGAAAGTATTGGATGAAAATTTTTAAACATTATTATGGTATAGAAAAATTTTGCTAATTTTAAATAATTATATGTGAATGAAATGACTTGTAATTTTATTTTATAATTTTTTTTATTGTCAAGATTTTGCTGCTTAGATTCTTAATAAGTTTATTTTATAAAATTTGAAAGAACTTATAAATTTTAGCAACATTTAAAATTATGAGTCAATAAAAAAATAAAATAAAAATGGTAAGATTTGGATAAAAAAAAATTAATACAATTTTTTAATGTCTACCTTAACACACAAAATCTCAATAATTTGAATGAAATTGATAGTTAAGTGTGATATGTATAAATTTTACCAAAAAATACACAATTAATGTGTATATTTGGAAAGATCATTTTCCCAACTTACAGTTGTTTTCTTGCAAAAAAAAAAATGTTTGTAAAATTAGCAAATTGTTTGAAAAATTAGTTGAAATTTATAAACAGTTTTTTGCTTACATTTTATGAATAAATTTATTATTATTTTTCACAATTTTTTAAGTTGATTTATTAAATAAAGTTGATTTTTTTGTTATATAAAAAATAAATATCTCAAAATCATTTTTTCAACAAACATAAACAAAAATCTATTCAATTATAATTATTGTTCATATAATCGATTGTCGAAATAATTTAATTTTGACAGATTTTCCAAAAACAAAAAAATTAACTTACACAAGAATTCAAAAAAAAAATAGTAACTTGTTTAATATCATAAAACTTTTTATAAATGGTAAAAAGTCTTAGTTAAATACCATTAAGGAGTTTTCTTATTTATAAAAAAAATCTTTTAAAATTTTAATTCAAAGCACCTTAATTTGAAATAGCCAACTATATTTTCTTACTCTGATTTTATAGTGTGCAATATATGGTTGACAGCATAAGCCAAAAGAAGAAGAAAAATGCTTGAGAATTGGAGATGCACGTGTCACATTAAAGTTAGGGTTTACTATATGAAGTTGGGTTTGTTAATTGATATCCATTATTCTTCCTCAAATTGTAGGCAATTGGAATGGCATATTCTGGCCATATGCTTGGAATGGGCACTGTATATTCCAATGCTGTAAATGATGTAAATGATGGATATGGTTTCCATCGCTTTCAACAACAAAACAAAACCATGAATGATTACCCCACTCACGTCATAAATATTCTTGCTCTGCCTCCTTTTTCTTATTTTTATAGTCAACGCGGCTAACATCAACTTTATCCATTTCTTTTCTTCCTTCCATTTTCAATCTTCTAACTTTTTCCTTTTCTTATATACATATATATGTTCTAAAGAAAAGGCTCTTGTAACTGATAAGTAGTTAGTCTTGCTAATATTTAATTCATTTTTTTTAATTAAAGTAAGATACGGAGCTTATTGTATATTTTGAGTCAATATTTTAAAAGGGTTTACATATTTGTTAATTTTAGTTTTAGAAAAATATTTTGATTTTTATTAGAGAAATATTTTTTAATTTATTTTATTTTATTAACTTTATCTTTTACATTGAGTCTCTTTTATCTTATCCTCTTAAGCTGTTAACTTGGTCTCAAGTAATTTTTTAGAAACAAATTTCATTATCGTAAATATGACATTTTAAAAGGTTTTAAAGAGTACAATCTACATATCCTTAAATTTATTTTCCTTCTTCTGAGTTCTTGGGTTATTCTCACTAAAAA